TACAAATAGTAAGGGTCCAAGATGACTGAGGCACACCGGATGTGATAGATCTGTAACCAGATAAAAAGCTACCAATTCTGACTGCCTGACTTCTGTTAGATAAATACGACATAATCGAGTGAACTAGACCATCTGGAATATCAGAGGAGAAAAGTTTCTGTACAAGAATAGTATGATCGATTTTGTCGCAGGCTTTGGAGTAGTCGGTGTAGATTGCGTCAATCTGAGTATCCTCGTTTAAAGCAGAATGAATAAAGTTTATATTCGTGGATAATTTTTTCAAAGACCATGGGGATAGCTGAAAGGATAGAAATAGGACGGTAATTGGATACAACTGTTTATCACCGGATTTAAATATTGGAATAATGAAAGCTGTTTCCCACATACTTGGGAAAACACCTTCAAGTAAGGACTTCGAAAAAATACGAAACAAAATTAAGAATAAAGTTGGCATACCATCCGGACCAGGACTAGAAGTCTGGTCAAGATACAACAAAACATTGTGAATTGCATTAGCGGAAAACCACGGCAAAATCCCAGAACCATGGGCAATTACTGAGCTGTCGATTGTGCCATCTACAAAAACCGACGAGAAGTAATCCGAGAAAGCACAGGAGATCGCAGGACACGAAGCAACTATGGTTCCATCAAGGGAAGTCATTGAGGCTGGCGTGCCGGATGAGGGACCCTTTTTGCTATTAACAAACGACCATACCTTCTTTGGTTTCTCCAACACAACTTACTGAATGGAACTCAGATAAGCTCTGTAATCAGCAGCTATCAATTTTTTAGATTTACAACGTAAAATTGAAAAAGATAGATAATTGCAGTTCCGTCCACCGGACTTCCACTTTTTGTGAAATTGGAGCTTTTCCTTAATAATACGAATGGTAGAACGATTGTAGCAACAAGGGAATGGTTGTTTAGCGAAAATTCGTTGCGGAACATATCTATTAACGGTTAAGTAAGTTACCGGTTGTGCAAACTTCAAGTACGGAGCCAATAATTATTAGGATTGTCAATCAGGGGGTGAATAAAAAACCTCCTTTACTAGTACCTTAGCTTTCGAATTTTATTTAATTCTTCATGAGAGGAACGCTATTATTAAAAAAAAAACAAAAAGAAACAATCAAAAATTGTACAGATTAAAACTTAACCTAACTTACAGATAGAGGTTAGAGTTGTTAAAAGTTGTAAAAATACAATAACCCATAATTCAAACAATGAACCAAGTTAATAAACGGCCCAAAGACCGTCGTAAAACCAAAATCCAACACACGATGGCTCAGCATCAATCAAATTCGAGAATCAATCACAACAACAAAGAAACAGGTGAGGTCCATGACAGTTAGACTTAGGACCGAGAGCAATACCAACCCACGAGGAAGAGAAAAAGATAACACCCCAGCCACAAGGCGGGGACCTTGAAAACCAAAACAAAGGTCAAAACCAGACAGCCCCGAAAGACGAATCGTCGAGAGGTGAGGGACGAGCAACATGCAACTTAACCAAATGGCAATAGATGTCACTAACATTCTGCACATCAGTGCGAAAATGAACAGAATTGGGCTCATTCAAGATGTGGAACATCTCCAAAAAACGGCGTTTGTAATAGGAAGGTTCACAACATACTATAGAAGTTTTGTCAAAATCAAAAGTATGCCCCGTGGTTAGATGGTGTTCCACAAGGGCCGTGGCATTAGGGAGTAAAGGCATGAGGTGTGTCACAGGAGAAAAGTATCCTGTTTACTATCGAAGCAGGGTAACCATTGTTCCCAAAGATGTCCGCCAATAACCTTAGGTTCTTCATCCTCAGGGCCTCATCACAAATGCGGACAACTCGGTTCTTCATGTCCTTTAACGTGTTAATTTTCATATTTAGGGGATGGCAGGAGAAAAAATTGATGAATCTCCCCAAATAAGTGGGTTTACGATACCAGTCAAGTGCAATAGATTGATCAGGATTGCGTACCACCAAGGAGTCCAGGAAGGGGACAGACCTATTCTCCTCTTTCTCCAGGGTAAACTGTATATGGTTGTTATGTCCGTTAAAGGTAGTCAAGGTGACATGTTGGCAGTCAGATGGCAGAGCACAAATGATGTCGTCGACATATTTGAAGAGGAAGGGCAACTTGAATGGGAGAGCCGGTATGCACATGTCCAGGACATAGTCCATCACGATGGTTGCTAAAATTTGGCTAAGTGGGCTGCCCATAGGTGTACCAAACTTCTGTTTATATACATCACCATTGAAGGAAAACACAGAGGAATCAAACAGAAAAGAGATCAGCCGTAAAAACTGCTCCATACCAATCAGAGTATGAGGTGCCACCAGCGATCAGTCCTTCCTGATCCTCTCAATCACTATGCTTAATGGGATATTGGTGAAAAGAGACACCACATCCAAGGATGCTAAGACGAACCTTGGGGGCAGAACCAGACCTCTGACCCTCGCCGCAAATATAAATGAATCCTTTATGTTATACTCGGTCCGATCCGAGAAGGCCTTTAACAAGATTTCAGCCAAGAAAGCAGACATAGCATATGTAGGGGATCCAATGAAAGAAATAATCGGCCGCAACGGGGCGTTACCCTTGTGGATCTTTGGAAGACCATAATATTTAGGTATGGTACCATTGTGACAGCTTAAATTTCTATAGACGTCCCTCGGAATGAGCTCATCATCGAAAAGACTCTTGCAGATGGTGTTTGATTTTCTCTGGATCACAGAGGTTGGATCATTTGATATTTCTTTTTTATATTTGTATTATTGAACCACACAGAGAATTTTGTTGAATTATGATTGAAGAGGATTAATTTATGATTAAGAATTGATGTGTCATGACTCATGACACATCAATTCTTAACACAATTTTTAATCCTCTTCAATAATACAAATATAAAAAAGAAATACCAAATGACTCATTCTATAGGACACTTTTGTAACAAAATGACGTAATCTCCTGAAGATGCAGTAAATATATAGCGAAACCGGTTGAGAGAAAATTTAAATAAAAATCCATTTAAGTGCAAAAACGAATTTTATTTATTAGACATAAAATGGAAAGAAAATCATCAAACGATAGTTGAAAATGTTTTTTTCTAGTCCTAAGTGCTGTCCGGGATATGGTCTCATTATATTTTCCCTTAGAGGAAACGCAGCATCACCCATAACAGAATGTAGAAGTATAATGTTGGTTCTAGGCAATTTCTTTGGAAAAGGGATATCTATGTTTCCATTTAAAAAAGCTCTTCCGAAAGAAGATTCTTTAAAGATAGTGCTATCATCATTTCTGTCACTAGCTCCAATATCTGCTATAATGAAATTATAATCCGCGTCTACACATGCCACTAAAATTTGACTTTTAATTGCTATTAAAACAATGCTGAAGGTATGTTTATAATTGAAGAACTCACTTCCCGATGCTTTTAGTGCTTGCATATGGATGTGTTTCCCATCAACAGCCCCGATACAATTGGGCATGACATTTTTCCATCGTTTGTAGAATGTATCTTCAACAGAGGCTAATATGTATCTTGTTAGCTCTGGTAACACTCTGGGCTATAGTACGTCCCACAGAACAGTTGTTGTCTCTTTAATTATATAATGTACAGTGGATTTTCCCATTCGAAAATTCCAAGCTAGTTCTTGCATAGAACTTCCTTCTGACAAATAACTACAATAATTTTATTACATAATTTAAATTTTTTTATAATATAGAATTAAACAAAAACATACTGTAGGGTTACTATCAACCTTTAAGCCGGTGAAATTGCACCTTTATTTGGTGTTTTTGCTAAAAAAGGTTCAACCAGTCTTAACAATTCCTTAAACTCTTCGAACGACATGCGAACATATTTAAAAAATTGTAAATCGTCTTCCTGTTTTTCCAACATGTTTCTAATTAGAGCGGCATAATATCCTTCTAATTCTCTATTTTTATTGATTGGTATTCTGCCAAAACGCATTTTCTTTCTTAATCTTTGTGCGATTAATAGAGCTGCATTCAAGCACAACAATCAGCGACAACAATTTTCTTTTTATTTATAATAAACAAAACGGTTTCACTCCCGATTTTTTTTTTTTTTAATTTGGCACGAGTTGTGGCACGCTGTGCTTAAATATTACGTGAACCAATCCCATTTCTTATAACTACAGCTAAAGCAAACGCTTATGACTATGACTAAAACTAAAACACTTTGCATGAAAACACATTGACTGCAACGCACTTTTAACCACAAGTCTTTGCCACCGCAGTATCTAAACAATTTTTCCCACACGCCGTTAAGGACGTCTGGTATAACAGAGTAAATAACGTCTGTGATTCTCTCTTTTAAATGATTAATGTCGTTGATATGTTCACTATTTACTGTATAGCCTTTATAGAGTCGTTACTTACAGATAACCTATCAGAATGAGGTTTGTTCAACAAACTGTTTTAGTATCTCTTTAGTATCCAAGAAAGTGCTTAGTATCTTTCGACTGCTTATCCCGTCGATGATAATCGAAAATGATAATGAATTATCGTTTTAGAAATTATAATTTTACTCTTCTTCCCTAACAAAAATTAAAAAAAAATTAAGAATTAGAAATATTGACCAACTGAAATGCGTAGCATTAATACTGTATGTTAGAGGGCTTCTAATAGGTGAGAAGAGCGATTTTAGAAAATCATGTTTTAAAGGTTACCAGTTCTTAATTGTTCTAGTTTTATTTTAACCCTTATGGACTGAACAGAATAATCTTAAAAATCATAATAAGGATAATACCATTTCTTAAAGTTTTTTAATTATCTTAACTTATATTTAGGATCGGTTCTTCAATTACTATAGTGTGCTACATTTAAGAAAATCCTCTCATGGGGATTAATGGGAATGAAGAAATTATATGAAAGAATTAAATAGGTACTGAAATAAGATTAATTAAGATCATAATTTCGAATTTTTTTTCTATACAATTTATAACTATTTCTAATTTTCTTAAAATATTCTCCTTTTGCATTACGATTACTTCGATGTAACACAAAAAAAAATAAGATTTTATTGAACTCCTAATAAGATTAGAACTTTTACGGTTTCCTCAACCTATTTAAACCTGCCAACAAAAATTTTAAGTCGTAAAATGTTTTTCCTACATAAAATCGCGTTTCTTTTTTTAACAATCCAAGTAGTAAAACCAATTCATCACGATGAAATTTGTGGTGGTTTCGACGGAAGGCGTTTGTATCTCGAATTAGGCGAGCACGGAACTTTATTTTCATCACATCATAACTCCACGCAAGATCGAAATGGTTTTGAACATGGTCAGTGTACATTGGAAATCGTTACATGCCCATCGTGCGTGATAGCCGTACATTTTAGGTATATTATTTTGTTAATTAGTTATAAGGAATAAAAAAAAAATTGTTGTAGTTATTTAAATTTATCTAATACTTGTGGAAATGTCGTTGGGGAGTGCCCTTGTAGTTATATATCAATTTTTGAGCCCCCTTACGAACAAGTATCTGAGAAGCGTTATTGTGGATATTTTTTGGATATGAACAATTCGAGTTTGTATTATAAAAGTATTACTAGAACGGCGACTATAAGATTTTTCTATAATACAGCATATAATCAAGCCTTCGTTTTGAATTATTTTTCAGAGAGTAAGTTATTTGGTACTTTCTTTTTACTTTGATGATTCGTTTTTAGGAAATCGAAGGTTCATTAATGGAAATCCCGAATCAAATAACGGGCGAAATTTTTCAAACGAAATCACCTCGCCTTATTTCCCAAATAATTATCCCAGAGATTTAAGCGTTGAGTATATTATTAATTGTAAGGTGGTAAAAATTTGTAGGATAAAATTATCTTTTGCCGATTTCCAAATATCAAGATCGTCTTTAATCGAAGTATTTAATTTTTAATTCAAACATTCATTTTTTAACGTAATTTTTTATTTTTAGTTTTTTGATTGGAACGGACAAAGGATGTTTGTAACAACGGGCTCAATATTTCGCCCTCCAATTTTAATCAGTACAGGCCCAACGATTGTGGTGAGATTCTACGCAAACGGTGGCACTAACGTTGGGTATAAATTTATTTATACCTTTTTAAATGGAGAATCGAATGGCACTTTAGCCACGAACACAAGTAAATTAAATATATCATAAACAATTCAATTCTTAAAGCATTTATTTTAAAGATTGTGGTGGGTTAGTTGATAATCTTGGTGGTGGAATTACAATGAACGATATGGTTGAAACCGGTATAAAAAAATTTGACTGCATATGGATTTTAAAACCACCCCAAGGATATCTTCACCAAAAAACGCATTTATTCATTAAAATTACAAATTTCGAATATTTCGATAATAACACAAAATTGATTATAAAAGAAGGATTAAACTCAAATGGGCCCTCGATCACGAATATTTTAACTCAAACGCCGTATCGATCCCGAGAACACGTTGTCCCTAGTAATCAAGGATTTTACATCAGTTTACAGGGCGATTTCAATCAAAGAACAAAATTGGAAATTGTTTATGCTGCATTTAGTTATAGAGGTAATTTTTAATTATTGATTATTAAATAAAATTTAAGAAAATCGTTTAGATTGCAGTTTAGGTACAGATTTTCTTTGTCAAAATCAAAGATGTATATCGCCAAATTTAGAATGCGACGGTTTCAATCAATGTGGAGATAATAGCGATGAACCTGAAATATGTTCAAGAAATAAAATAGCAAGGATGTACACTCCAAATTTTTACTTTCCTAAAGGAGAACGAGACATTGATTTAAAAACGGCGACAATTATATTTGTTATTAGCAGCTTTGGTATATATTTCCTACAAAAATGTAACAAACATCTTATATTATTATTTTTAGCACTAATATGTTTAGTAGTTTCATTAATCGTCTTAGTGTATCGCATCAACGTAAAAGGAACTCGAAGGAACCACTTACAAGCTCATTTGCAAAGTATTAATGAATTATTAGGTACATTTTAGTTAACAATTTTAAAATTTTTTAATGATTGTTATTAACAGATGAAACTTTATCCCGCACAGAAGAAGAAGAAATAATTATTCCCGATGATCCTCCGTGTTACGAAGCACCACCAACTTATGCAGACGTAATAAAAGTATTCGCTGAATCCGATCGAAACACAATCGCAGTGTTAAAAATTCCAAAACACAGGCATTGCGGGAAACACACAAAAAAGCATGTAGATGTTGAAACTTCAAGTGTTTCAACCGTTGATAGTACGGCTAATTTAATTGGAAATCCAATTCAGATAAGTTCTTTGGAATGTTCCATTCCGCAAATGATTTTGGAGACAAAAGGAATTGAACAGTTTCAACCGGGAACCAGCCAAAGTAGGTGGGAATTATAATGATTTTTGTTGCATATTATTTATTATTTTGTAGGTGGTAATGATACACCGCTTGATAATAAAGAACCTAATCGATTATCTAAATGGTTAAAAAGAGAAACCGATTTTTCCTTCGCGTCGAATGAAGGATTTTTTTCGACTATTTTGGCAAGTCGGAATCATTGCCTATCTGATAGCGATCTTACATCTGTTAAGGGCTTCGTTGAGGAAAATTCGACGGCGAATGTTTTTAAGATAACTCGAAGTTTGTCCATTGAAAATTTGTGTAAATTGTAATTTTTGTTCGTAATAAAACTTTGTTGATTTAGAACTTAAAAAATTTTACAAAATAAATCATCTAATTCCTTATTAAACCCTAAAATTTATTTTAAATAAGGATAACGCAGGGTTGAGACCAGCATCCGCTCTTCGTAAAAAGATTTTTCTTCTTCTACTTTCTAATATGGATATCGTTTGCTATCATTTTGGTGGTCTTCAGGGTGATTTTTTTCCTATTGGGTTATTCATTTTGCGTTTTTAATTAGTCTGTCATCTTCCATTGTTTTTATATGGTTGCCCCAGAATCTTCCTATGTCCTTCATCCTTCCTATTCCGCATTGTTGTCTAATAGCCTTGTGTACAAGAAACAAACTGAGAATACAAAATAGCTTCTCTAACTTATATGGAATGAGGACCTACAAATACTAAAGGCATATCAGAAATGACTAAATCAAGATACATCAAGGAACAAGGTCGAATATTGAATGGAACTGTCAAAATGTAAAAGAATGATAAAGACAAACATTTAGAGTAATTTAGACACATGGGTCACAAAGTATAATAATAATAATTTTTTATTTATTCACCTGGCTACAAATAGTAGGTGTGACAAGTTCAAACCACATACAATATATAATACACAACATACACAATATTCAACAAAGAAAGAGAGAAATTAAATTATGAAGTATGACCTATGCTAGTTGACTAGGACTAATACTAAAATTAAATGACAAGTATTCCTGGCGGTCGTAAAACGCCCTTTCTACAAGCATCATTTTTACTTTATGTTTAAATGAGCTAAGCGTATCAGCTTTTTTAATTGCAGATGGCAAATTATTATAGAGCTTTGGGAAATCATACCGTGGACTCTTTTCAAAGAAAGCCGTCTTATGATGACCCAAGCACACCAAACTATCAGATCTAGTTTCGTAATTGTGTTTCATGACAGGGTATCTATCGACATGCTCCCGCACATGAACAACTGATTTATATATATATATATTTTGAAGAGTAAGAAGCGAATTGGCCTTGAATGTATCTCTACACGAATCTCTGCAGTTTAGGTCGAAGATTAATCTTATAATGCGCTTCTGTGCTACAAAGGCACGCCGCCACTCCGTCGATCTTCCCCACAATAATATATTGTATGAGAGATGCGAATAACAGAGAGCATAATACGCATCTAATAATCCCGATAGCGGGAGGCATCCCTTCAACTTCAGAATTGCATAAAAGGACGAGTTCAATTTCGAAACCAGATGATCAACATGTTTGTCAAAACTTAGCTGCTCGTCTAGATAAACACCCAAAAACTTGCAGCTATTTGATAGAATGATATCATCGGCTTGCGGAAGCCTTCTCCTCTTATGAAAATTTACAAACACGGTCTTTTTTAGATTAAGAACAATACGATTTTGTTTGCACCAAGCATCAAATGATTCAACGGTATGCTTGACTTTAGAAAAAAGCATATCAGCATCATTCGACGCCAGGGCAATTGACGTGTCATCGGCATACATGACTATGTGGACATCGGAAAGATACTCAGGAAGGTCATTTATATACAATAGAAAAATTAATGGGCCCAAGATTGAGCCCTGGGGAACTCCCAGTCGAACATTTGATTCCGATGACTCCTGACCAGAGAGGACCACTTTTATTTTTCGTTCCTCCAGAAATGATTGAAGCCAATTTAAAATCGTGCCTCGCAAACCCAAAGCATACAATTTCTGCATGATGTACACTAGTGGCAGCGAATCAAACGCACGCGACATGTCGAAGAACAGACCCACAGCAAAATTACCTTTATCCAGGTTATCGTAGATGAACTCAATAAAATTCAATGACGCAGTCTCTGTAGACAGGCCCCGCCTAAAACCATGCTGAGCATTACTAACAACATTGAACCTGTCCAGAAAACTCAAAATTCGCTCCGAGACGATGCTTTCAAATATCTTTGAAAAAACGCTAGTTATCGCTATTGGTCTGAAATTGTTGACATTTGTAGGATCACCAGCCTTGAAAACTGGAATGACCCGAGAAATTTTCAGCGCCCCGGGAAAGATTCCAGAACAAACAGAAAAATTAAATACATGCTTAAGGGGCTCGACCAGACAAGACGCTACATACTTAATTACACTCACACCGATGCCATCGCAACCCGTCGAGCGTACGTTTTTTAAGCGCTTGATGGCCGCTAGAATTTCTGCGGAGGATATAGTATACAAAAATATGCTATTGGGTACAGAGCTACCAACGGTGCAAGATACATCCCTCATCGGGCCATAAATCAACTCTACCTTCTCCTCAACAGATGTTGTGAAAAACTTTGAAAATGTTGAGCAGATCTGCGCAGTGTCGCTAATCATATGACCATCATCCGAACGCAACAGAAAACTAGTTTGCTTCCTTCCTTTACCCAATTGGTTATTTACACAATGCCACACTGCGCGACTTCTATTCGATGACTCTATTATTTGTTTCATAGTATGTTTCTTTTTAGTTTCATTAATTAGTTTTCTATATGAACCCTTCTTAACATTATATAAGTTACGCAACTCCGGATAACCGTTGCTCATAATCCAAAACATGTCTTTAAGTTCCCTGCCAGCACTTATTATATCATTTGTAATCCAGGGAGCTCTATTACAACCACCAGGACGACCAGAAACTATAGGGCAACATATATCAAAGTAAAACATAAATACATTCAAAAAACGGTCATAAGAGTCGGATTGAATATTTGAACAGATATCCGACCAATCATAATCACGTAATTGCGAATATAACTTAGCAAGATTCGAATTTGACAACACACGCCTTACTACCACAGGCGCCTCTATCTCCACATCAATTACCGGCTCAAAAAGAACCTCGAGTGAACAAGCCATGTGATCCGCTATAATAGGATCAAAAACGGTAAATGTGCAGAAACGCGCCGGTAAATTAGTAAATATATAATACAATGTTGAATTGGCTATGCGGTTGTTTTTGTCAATAGCTATGCGCGTTGGCTCGCTCGTTTGACCGTGTAGACCAAATGAGCTCAAAATATCTTTCAAAAGATCGGATTCCCTATTGCATTTATTAATGTCAATGTTAAAATCACCGCATAGAACAATGTTTTGGAATTTTAAGAATAAAGAACAAAGTAACGCAGACAGGTTAGCAACAAACGTCTCAATCGAGCCCAGTGGGGGCCTATAGACACAAACGCATACAACATCTTTAGCCATAAATTTAACACGTGCGGCACATACTTCAAATGACATTTCCGATGAAAAACTTTCAACATTGATTAACGATATGGTCAAGCCGTTTCTGGCAAGTATTAAGGATCCCCCGTGGGATCTTACAGAACGAAAATAGCCATGTTTATGACATCACGCACTTCCGATCTTTAAAAAACAGCAATGAAAAACTAAGCTTACCACTTATACTTGTATCGGTATGGAAAAACATTTTGAAAAAGAATTTCCAGAACAAAGACCACAGTTCCTAACACAATCACCAGCAATACACAGAGTAAAAATAAATGTAGACATGGTAAAAAGAACACTGAAAGCAATGATAAACAGCAAGACAAGCGACCAGGTAATACTTATTTCCCATGGTTTTGTATGCAGTGTTTTCGAGGAGCTTCTGGACTAGTACTTCGTATTCTATTGGGTGTATGAGTTGTTATAATTTCCTGTGAATGAACTTTAGGATGGTATCTATGATTGCTTGTTTTTTGTACATTCGTCTTAGGGCTTTCCTAATTAGTCTTTTTTCTAATTCCCACCTCTGTCCAATAAAAGTCTTAGGTACCTTGACGGTGAAGGATCTAGGTGATCTAGGTGTAACTTCCTTGGATATGGCTTGATGTAAAAAGTTAGTGTTATCTATAGTCTTCACTCTCTTCATCATCGATTTCCTCATATGTTGGATTAATACGGATACCTCCGTATTGTAATTTAGCAATGGTAGAATCCAGGTTCATCGTAACTTTCATAATGTGAATAAAAATCTTGAATACGATGAAAATATTTGATTTTATTTATATATCGGTGCTACAAATTGTTTAGGAAACCAACACTTTCCTTCTTCAGGCACGACTAAAGGAGTATACGAAAAAAGAGATAGAAACGTTAAACTATCTTTAAAGAATAACCTTTTAACGTCGAAGATGAATTTAAAAAAGTTAAAAAAGATAGAAGCGCTCTCAACAATAAATTGAACTACTCCACCCCCAATACTAGCATAAATCATAAGGAGACTCCAAATTGTTCTCCCTCAGACAACTTAACGTTAATGAACCTCGTCGAAAAATACTCTTGGATGGGCTTGATTGATGTATCTTTGTCGCCCATTGAGGTCGCGAAGTCAAAATGGAAAGACGTGGAATTTTTTATAAAATTAAATATTTTATTATCATAACTAAAAACATATATGTAGAGATGTTACGAAATAATAATAATTTATTTCAAAAAAACTCAAAAGTTACAGGTAATTCACAACATTATAGAAAATACAATAATACAAAATATATGACAAGATTTCTACAGCTTTGTTTGCCTGGCGAATCCATGAACTCGCTGATACCGTAGTATGGGTTTTCACCAAAGTGCTCCCTTGACGTCTTTTTGTAATGGAGCATTGCTATAGTTGTATCTATAAGTTTGTTATAAAATTTTACGCCCTGGTAATATACCGATTGTTGTCAGGTAGTCAGTTGGTGGTATGGAATTTGTAGAGATGAGTTGTTCCTCGTACTGTATTGATGATATTTCGCTCTACATGACACATCATTCATGTTTTGTTTTATGAAAATAAGACATCTATAGATATACAGCAAATAGACAGTCATTATTTTCAATTCTTTAAACAGCGGTTTACAGCTCTCCATTTGATTTGCATTCATGCTATTTTTTGTATTATAAATATTTGTTTAGCTCCTGGGGAACTTCCCCAAAACAACACACTATAAGACATAATGCTTTGAAAATTCGAGTAATACACCACCATTGCTGTATATCGATCTGTCAATCTCATCACTGTTCTTAGCTGGAAAACTACTAAACTAAGTTTCTTACCAACTTCATGTATCTGTGCATTCCATTTCATAGAACTCTCTAGGAGTACTTCCAGTAGTTTAGCAGCTGTTGCATCAGTGGATTTAGTGTGAAACTAAATTTTTTGTGTTTTTTCTCATTCAGTTGCAATTTATTAGTCTGCAAACATTATAGTACTGCATATTTTCAAGGATTCAGGGAGATTATTAATATACAGCAAGAAAAAAATGTTCAAAGTTCAACATTACGGAGATTCTATTAAATCCATATTTAAAAGGAGTTTTGTGCAAATCTTGTATACTTTTCAAGTCTTCATTGAAATGTTACTTTTGTTTATAAAATCATATTGCATTTCTACCGATAGCACCAGAAACAAATTTCTTTTCAAAGCAATTTGTTTCTAAATATGCGATTGTGATTAAAAACTTTTTTCTCCGAAATTAAATAAGATTTTTGAAATCGTATTTATCTACATATAACAAAGTAAATAATTATCATTATATGTATATCCTAAAAATGATATTTTCGAATATGTACTAAAATGTTGAAATGTGTCAAAACTATACATATAGTAACTAGAAAAACCAGGAGGTCGATTTTATCCTGGTTTTTCCTTTATCCTGACATTTTGTACAGTTTGAGCGACAAAACAAAAGCAAAGCCGCAATTTAGAAAAGATTTTCTAAAAAATTTGGCATTGAAGATGATGAACGGATTTTTGATCGAAAGAAGCCAAATAACTACCTTGCCAATCGACATCAAAGGGACTCTTACAAAACTAGGACATATTTCTCAAAAAGGAAGAAAATAAATATACCAAAATTCGTTTTAAGTTATAAGTTTAAACAAAACTTGTAAAATGTATTACTTTTGAACGGTATTTACTACATTCTCTAACAATGAACTGATTTCAGTACAATTGTACGATTAAGAATTTTGTGAAATCGTACTGAATTCAGTACAATTGTACCGACACAGCAACACTGGTCAGGACAACATGTTCTCTGCATATAATTTTATTACATTTTAGCATTGGGTTTTAGTTTTGTAATCTTTCCCAGACGGACAGCCTTGACATTTACTTGATGTACCATATAGGGTAAATGAGGCAATAAATCGTTCTATGCTGATAATGCAAAATCATCTAAATACACAAGTTAATTAAGTTGTGTGTTTTGGGTGACCTAACGATTTATATTCCAAACATGTATTATGATGGATTAAGGCCTTTTATACAATAAACTAGTTCATCTAGCAGCTCTGGAGCATCATTTACTACCCTCAAAAACCCAATACCATTTTTCCATACAAGGAAAGTAAAGTAGAGAAATCGTACGATGCTGATAAAACAATAAAAATATATAAACTAATTAAGTAAATTCCGTCGTACGCGTTTGTCGATTCAAATCGTATACACCCGATAGTCCGATTTACTCGCGATTCATTCGTTGTAATTTTAATTTAAATAAAAGTTACTTTTTAAAAACTTAAACGTTTTATTGTAGAACTGAATTGTATCTAAAAAATAAAACGAAAAAACTTCTTAACTTGCTACATTTAATAAATTTGTAGTCAAACTAGTTTCGGGGCTAGCCCCATCCTCAGTGACAATGTCAATAGAAAACTAATAGTGTAAACTGAAGATCATCAAAAAGGGGAGCAATTGAAAGCATGTATAAAGCTGAAGGCGATATAATGCGTTGTTAAACGTGTACAGCAAAACGATTAAAATGGCGACAGCAAAAAAACACGTTATTATAAACGCTTGTTGAAAAATAATCAAAAACCATGTTGATCCGTGACATTGTCACTGAGGATGGGGCTAGCCCCGAAACTAGTTTGACTACAAATTTATTAAATATACAAGTTAAGAAGTTTTTTCGTTTTATTTTTTAAATAATTCTCTTGCAACATGGATCTACACCAGTGGTACTCAAACTTATATGCTTGCGCACCACTAAGGCTATTTTAAAAATCAGGTAAGTACCACTGAACAAAAAAAACAATAATGATAATGCAAATATAAACTGTTTTGCGTACCACTTGAGAACTTCTCGCGTACCATCAGTGGTACGCGTACCATAGTTTGAGAACCACTGATCTACACTCTTAATTGTATCTCTTATTCAACCAAAGGAACATCTCTTTTCCAATGGAAACACGAATGGAATGTCGACGTCCGACTCGTCGAAGTCGAAACTTTTGTCTTGTTCGCTGGCTGTGTCATTTTCTGAATCAGAATCCTTTTCTATTTCTTCACCGGACCGACGTTAAAGACCAACAATCGATCTTGATATCCCTGGCCTTGGATCCATTATTTTACTAAATAATTCACTCTTTTTTACAAAAAACAGTTTTTATAAAACAATTTTACCGAGCAATCTATTTTTTATAAGTATCTACACACGATTGGCCCCGTTTAACATTTTTAAAACGATTCTTATGACTGAAAACAAAATTCGAGGAAGGTTCTTTAAAAGTTACCTTTAATTTTACCCACGCACGCGTCTTTCCAAGGTAATGAAAATTAAATGTATCTTGCTTTCTATGGATGAATGCTATGATTAGTCATAATAAATTATATAATTTTCTTCGTGATTAACTAAAATTACAAAAACGTGGCCTAGAAAGACTTAGGCTAATTTGGTATAAAAATAACAGAAGAAAATATTTATCTTTAATAATATAATTTGAATTTAAAAAATACATTTTTAATGGCACAACATAATTTTTAATGTAAATAACATTCAGTCTTGTAGAAGCAACACAAATTTTAGCGTTTAACATCAAACTTCAAACCAAAAATTGAAAAAATTCATATTTTCAAAAACATTGTACATACAATAACAATACTTTTTATAGCCCCAAGAAGTAATGCATTCGCTACTTAATCTATAATAATCCAAACGACTTGCAGATCCTTCCAAAGCAAAAATCGGTTTGTTATTATCATAAGATACTTTTACGGTAGTTTGAAGTATCATTTCTGGCATGGTTTCGAAGACCAATAAAAGATTTGTGCTATTTCCTCCAACATTATCCGAAATACTAGAAGATATAATTTTATTTAATTTTAACTGGGCACATTTGGTTGAAGACACTAAATTGGCTTTTATATCACTATTAATTGAGGTAACTGCAAATTCGGTGGCTTGAAAGACGACGTCGTTGTTCATATTGATATCTTTGTACCCGAAACAAGTACACCAATGAGTCGTTATTCCGGCTTCCAAGCAACTTCTTTCTTCTTTGACCGGTTTAAAAAGCGAAATACAACCGGGACAAGAGGCACTTTGTGTAGCATTGTATTGCAACCCCGACATCACTAAAATATCTTTTAAAGTCATGTGAAAATCGAATGGTGAAGTTAATCGATTTTTATTGCCGATTAAATTCGAATATTCTAAAGGAAGTTTACTTTTCAATTTTTGGGGAATTGAAATATACAGGAACGGTAATCTTTCTTCTAACCATCCAGTTCGAGTTTGCAAAAATGGTCCAAATCTTAAACCGTGATCGCTAAAAAAGATAACAATAGTGTTCTCCAGAACGTTATTTGTGTAGATGTCTTCTAAGAATTCTAAAGTTGGTTTATCTAATCGTCCAGCTGAATTTAAACGATTGTGACTACCGGTTGATGTCCAAAATAAACCAAATTTAGGATAATCTTTTAATGAGACAGCAAAATCTTTGGCTGTGTTAAAAATTCTTTCTGCAGAATTTTCAGGTCCCGAACAGTAGCTCATGTGGTCTAACGATGTGAATGAAATTGATTCCGCAGCGATTATATAAGGAATGTAATAAAGATCTGTTGGTGGATCTTGAAATCCAGGTGCTAAGTAACTAAACGTGTTAAGTGCTATTTCATCTTCACTGTAGGCCGTAATATATCCATTCGATTTAAAATCTTTCCAAATAAAATCACATGTATCTAATAAACCCACTTTACTCCAATCACAATATTTTAATATACTAGAATAATTTCTACCGGTTAGTATAGCCATTAAGTTAGGAAACGTGTTATCGTCTATTTTATTGTACCCATCAAAACTAGCCCAATTATGTTTCTTTAAAAAATTAAATGTATTCGGCATTAAGCGTTCAAAATTCCAGCGAGAAACACTATCAATCCCCACCAATAATACACTAGGAGGATCCAACCTTTCTTTTAAAGTTCTAGCTTTAAGTTTAACATCTTCACTCACCATAGCCGCCGAATGAGCATTTGAATAAACTTCTTCTAAATTTTTACTATTATAACATTTTACTAGAACCGTATTTTCTTTTAAAACAATACTGTCTTTAAATTCTTCACATTTTGTAAAGCTAAAACAAAATATATATTAATATTATTTAAACAATTAAATTTTTAATCTTACTTAACACTAATATCAGATACTCTGTGGACGTAGCTAAGGCAACACGTTAGACCCCTCGTCGAATAAAGAGGTTCAGCAGATTTATCTATGTACAAAACGGCCATGCTTCCATTATTCTTAATGTACGTTAATAATTTTTTATAAGTACACGGCACATATTTCTTCTTTCTGTAGTAGTAAAGCGAATCTTTGTTCCAAGGGCCGACATCCGGAATTCGACACATTGTGCTATTTACCAAATATTTATCTGCAAACAAAGAAATAACATGAGCTTAAAATAGTTTACCTGGATTAAGATAACAGGAATTATTGTGTGATTTAGAATTTATCAAATTCAATTGGGACTTATATCGGATAAAAGTGGGAGCGTGTATAAATAAATAATAAGTATTAGATTTGAAAATATATATATACAGAAGGATTATGTAGGATAAAACGATTATATTTTATTTTTAGAAAGGAATACCGTTTTATTTACAAGTTTATTTTTAAATTCATAAATATGTAAATAATGCGAACAGTTGTAGGACGATAACATCGATAAGAAATATGTAGGGAATTTCATGATGATAGTCATAATTCAATATCATGATTTGAAACAATAATATTAAATTTATTAAGCACATCTAGATCATTTCATCAAATTTTTGAATCGTGCCCTAAATTTATCAAATTAAATTTCACAAAGTAATAATATAAGTATAATATTTTAATTAATACTAACCAAATATAAAGGTTGAAGTGATTAATAATACATATATAAGAATAGTATAAGAAACTACCGTTTTTTTTTATAAGAGATTATTATTCCTGTAGTGTAATTATGTTCCTTAGCGCTGGAAATTTAACAGCTCTTGATTAAATAAAATTAGTTGTACAAAGAATGCACATAGACCAGTATTCCGCAAAATGTGTGCCGCGACACATTGGTGTACCGTGGTTATTAGTTGGTGTAGAAAAATGTCAAGTTTTGTCAGAAAGTTAGGATGTTAATGCATGGATGTGATGCATAACTGAGAGTTATACGAGCAAAGGGCTTCAACGGAGAGTCAACCAAGAAAAAACCTAAGCTCGTTAATCGAAAATATGATGAGAGTTATGTAATTTGTGGCTTTATAGATTTTTTGACCTTGACCTTATTTTCAAGGTTATATGAAGGTAACGACCAATTTTTTAAATGGCCCCCTATATATTTTCTTGTAAAATCTGAATCTGTAGATAAAAGTAAAGTAATTCAAAACAAAAATAAAAAAAATTTACCGTGTGGTTTTGCCAGTATAACGGCAAAACATCTTTTGAAAAAAATTTAAACTTCTTCAAAAACAATTAACGTTCATAATCTAGCACGAATTTCTAAACATTCTCCTACCCGCTTCGATACATTGTCTTTAGTTCTTAATTCTTAGAATACTATTTAAGAATGCTCAACAAAAATAATCCAGAAGAGGTGTGACCTGGCTCGTCGGAAATACCTTTGGAAAGAGGTCTAAAAGGTTCCGACATTTCACCGCCTTTGTCAATTTGATAATAGAATAACACATAAAAAACACGAGTTCGTGGAATTGCTTATGTCGGCATTTTTAGAATATCGCTTTCAGAGACTTAATTGGTTGAATTGTTTTAAAATGTAACAGGTAAAACTAAAATTGCATAAAAACTGCTTGGCAACAAATTCTGAATTCATTTCATCGTTTTGCATTAAGGCAAAGTAAACTAAGTCATTAAATCATGGATACTCTAAGTGTAGCAAAAAAAGTCGAAATGATTTTTATTTATGGAGAAAGTGGCAGAAAAGTTGCTGATAGTATAGCTTTGTTTTCTAATAGCAACGTTTTCCTGATCGAAATACGCCTTCGGGAAGTACCTTTTACAGAGTTGTGAATGATTTCACTAACACTGGAAATGTGGAATCAAGAAAAAGAACTCGGCGAGCAACTGTAACTACGGAAGAAAAGGAATTTGCGGTATTAGCTAGCGTTGAGGTAAATCCTCAAGTTAGCACTCGACGACTTGCAATTGACGCCGGAATATCGAAGACCAGCATTTTAAGAATATTAAAGTGCAACAAATATCACCCATACCACATTTCATTGCATCAATAGCTTTATGGAGGTAGACATAACATGCACTATTGAAGCGTTCAAAATCCGAGAAGGTTGCGTGAAGTAGAACATCAACGACCTTGGTAGGTTAATGTTTGGTGTGGCATAATGGTGATAAATTGATCGGTCCATACTTTATTAATGGTATGCTCAATGGGGAGAACTACCGAAATTTTCTAGATGACGTCTTACCAACGTTACTTGTAGATTTGAGCAGGGAAGAAAGACAAAATATGTGGCTGCAAAATTATGGGTGTCCAACACATTTTTCACATATTGCACGTGAAGCTTTAGATCGGGATTATCCTGGACGATGGATAGGAAGGGGAGGTCCAATTTCCTGGCCTGCCAGATCACCTGATTTAACACCTCTTGATACGTGAACGGTAATATTCTAGTTAAATCCAAGAAGTAAAGAAGTTGTCAAGATTATGATCAGCCAAGAAGCCGCTAGGGAATTCGAAAAAAATACCTATATCAACAGATACGATCTCACGTCGCATTAATGATATTTATTGCGACATTGAATCAACGTTAATTGAAAAATTATAGCTTAGTGGCGTACTAATATCAGTGGTCACGCGCATATCATCTCAAATGTGAGGTATACTGACAAATATGAAATAAAAGAGGACGCTTTGTTTTGTCTGCTACAACCCAGTTCTACCACTGGAGAAGAAATATTCCAAGTAACAGACCAGTACTTCAGTGAGCATAACTTGGAATGGCACAACTACATAAGCATTTGCACAGACGGAGCAGCAGCTGTGACAGGAAAAAATTAAGGGATTTGTAGCCAGGGCTTCTGAAAAAAATCCTAATACATATTAAAAATTTATATTGCTTTTTACACTTTTTTAGCACTGTTGACGAAACCTCTGCCTAATGAATTTTTGTCTGTCTTACAAGAAGTTGTCAAAATTGTCAATTACATAAAGTCGCGACCTCTGAACTCTCGTCTGTTTAATGCAGTGTGTCAGGAAATGGGAGCAGATCATCAGTCACTTCTGTTTCGATCTCTCTGTACGATGATTTTCTCGCGGAAAAGTGCCTTCTCGGATGTACGAATTAAAAAATTGAACTCAGACGTTTTTAGACACCCAGGGATCAGATTTTGCTTCTCTATTTAAAAAAGAAGTTAAGTGGGAGTTATGGATCAGTCACGCTACCAATGGTAGTAAAGAAATGTTCCCAAATGTCATCGCTGCCGATTCAGAAAAAAAAGTGCAGACTTTGATAATGAAACACTTGGAGTTATTTGCACAAAAAATGATCAGTTATTTTCCCCAGTGTGACCTGCAACCAATGGACTGGGTACGAAATCCATTCTCAAATAACATTACCCGTGGACACTCACTGATAAACGAGCAGGAAGAATTCATGAAGTTAAAAACAGATCGGACATTAAAACTACAATTTTCCGAAACGGAGCTAGTACTGCTTTCAAAGCCTGCTATTGCAATTCTGTTACCATTCGCCACGACCTATTTATGCGAATTGGGTTTTCAACTCTCACTACGATTACATAAAAAATACGCTTGTGGACGATCGACGAGGAGATGAGTTCAGCCTTATCAAAGATTGCTCCAAATTTGATCGCTTATGCTCAGTTAAGCAGGCTCACATATCTTATTAACAATGTTTTGATATTGTATTAATTTTTATAATAAATATGTATTTAATACATTGTATTAAATAAACATTGTTTTTTTTCTTTCGTGTACCTCTAGAATTTCTTGATTTGGAAGGTATACATTGAACATAAAAAGTTTGCGGAACACTAACATAGACAACAATCTGGGATTCAGAAGTCAGTATAGCCAGTGCCACAGCGCTACTTGACTTAAATAATGTTACACATTAATAGAGCTCTTCATGGTGATAGATCTACTATACTTGTATTACTTGATTTTAGGAAGGCGTTTGATATCTTGAATCACCTTTTATTGGATATTCTTAAATTTGTTGGTGTGTCTGCTTGTGCTGTTTTCATTGTTGTAAGAGTTATCTGTCTAATAGTACACAGGCGATTAAACTAAAGTTATTGTATTCCGATTGCACTAAATTAATTGCTGGTTTTGTGGTTCAGCACTTCTCTTTTATCTACGGACTTATTATTTCCTGTAATCCGCCTTACCCCTTGACAACTACGTAGATTAAAACCAGCTCAAAACCAACGTATGCCAATCATTTATGTACCCATCATCCACAATTTTTATCAGCTCACCCTTCCTTTCAATCTTTCGTTTACTGATCATCTTCTTCTTACTCTCTTTCTTCCTAGTGTCGTTATTCTAACATAGTGCATGTTAGACTATATCTTCGCCTCCCTCACATGCACACATCCAATTTGAAGCTTTCAGCCCTTTTTTTTCAAGTATAGGTTGAATGGCCCATGACCTGTCAATAGCTATCATCCCTTTGATTTCTACGTTGCTACCTTTTCGACATACCCTATGCAGTATCCATTAACTCACCTCTACATTCCACATCTTATTACGCACCACAAATTTCACAGCTAGACGATTGTCGTCATACATAATAAATGATTCCTTCATTCTTAACGCCGCCCACTCTAATCTAAGCGCTCTAGCTTACACCTCCGCTTGTTATATTGCAGCATGCCACCCTATTTTCCTTTTCTCCGACTACACCATAAACCCATCCTCTCTCGCCACATACGTCATATGTACCCCTCCCTCCCTTTCATTTCGTCAGTAAACACTTTAACCATATCTTGGACTATCATGCTCATCGGTGAAAATACCAATGATCCAGTTGTTTCGATAATTCCATTCGTTACCTATGTATGTATGTATGTAAGAGAAGGCGAGGGCATGCACACACGCAGCACTTAGGCCGCAACGTGCTCTTATAAGTGCCATTCCAACACTCACTCCGGTTATATCGACCAGCCTAAGGAGTCGAAGGTTCTGTTTACCCAGTATCTGTTCAGCAGCTTTATTCTATTACAAGTCTCTTTGCATTATCACTCTTTTCTGCTCAGTCTCTTTTCTAGTCTTATTCTTCTAATACAACTCATTCCTTTCTGTACAGTCTCCATTCACCAACTTTCCAGTTTCTATCGATTTTGGCAAACCCTCCTTCTATTACTAGTCTCTTTCAGGTTGTCGTTTTCTCTGTC